CAGTGAAGCAACGTCCTCCACAACTAGACTGAAGAACAAAACGACAGCAACTTGTCTGTTCCCCTTCCCCCAATTCCCCAATAAAAATCTTTTAAGAAAAAGAAGGTGACATTTCAAGGAAGGGAGGAGAAATTAGTCATCTGTAAAAAGGGCGTTCCGGGAAGAGGGTACAGTCAATGCAAAGACCCAAAGACAGGAGCATGTCTGGTTTGCTCTGGGAACAGAGCAGCAAGAACGCCAGGGTTGATGTACTGGAGCAGAGAGAGTCAGAGGAGAGCAATAGGAGGTGAAGTCAGAAAAGTAACGGGGTGAAGGGAACAGGTCTGGTAGGGTCCTAGAAGGCCAATATAAAGAATCCAGCTTTTACTTACATAAGATGAACAAACAATTAGGGTTATCTACAGAAGAGTGATAGCAACTGATTTAATATTTTTAAAACAAAATTCTAACTGTTTGGTTGAAAACAGAATGTAGGAAACCAAAGGTGGAAATGGGAAGTAGCAGTTAGGAGGTTTTGCAGTAATTCAGGCGAATGAAGATGGTGTGTTTGACCAGGATGAGGGCCATGACTGGGTCAAATTGTAAATAATTTTGAAGATAGAGCCAACGAGATTTTCTGATAGATGAAATTTGTAATGTAAGAGAAAGGGAGAGGGGTGGGTAAGGATCATTTTAAGCTTTTTGTCCATAACAAACGGACGGATGGAATTACCATCAATTGAGAAGGAGAAAACTATTAGTGAACTATGTTTGGGAGAGTCCAGGTTACTTTTCTGAATTGCCAACTAACTTACCAGCCAACTTCTAGACATCTCTCCTTGGATATATACTGCAGAAATACAGCCTGTTGCTGGAACCCACTTAGGTCCATGGTCATGAATTTAAAGTGGGAACAGTTAGCATGGTTGTACGTTTTTACCATTCCCATTCAGCTGTGCAAAGTGAGTGGACAGCTGGATTTAACCAGGACCATGGTTGTTGGTCAAGCAACCTCAAAGGAGCAATAAGAGGCTGGGGAGTTGAGGGTGTGTCTAAGGAGTGAATTTAAGGTAGGGTTCCTGGCAAGAGAGGACATCAAGGGGATGAGAAACTGTAAAGAGAGGGTAGGGGTCAATTCATTGAAAATCCTGATGGGCTGAAAAAAACATTAGAACTAGCAGGAGGGAGCTGGGAAGATAGGAAGGGAATGGGTTGTATGTAGTTGAGATTATGGAAGAGTATACTGGCAATGACAAGGTTTAAGTTATCACAAGAGAGTGAAGATATGAAGATGTCATTAAGTTGGAAGAGGACATCATCTTAGGACCAGAGTTCAAGAAATTGAGAGGTCAGGGTATGGATAAGCTTTTATGTATATATAAAGCTTATCTATATCTATATCTGTCTATATCTATCTATCTATCTATCTACACACACACACACACACACACACACACACACACTTAGACTAAAATCATCAAGAATTAAGACAGGAGTTGTGTTGAAGACAGTGGTGCAGTGAGTCAGGAGCTAACTGAGAAATGAGCGATATGACCTGAAAGTCTGTAGATGACAGCAGTTAGAAGTCGGTGACATAATCTGACCAAAATGAAGGAAATCTCAGCATTGAAATTCATATAATTGAAATATCATATTTCAAATTTCACCAGGAATATTTTAATGTAAATTTCCCAAAAGAAGAGCATAAATGTTTATTTGTATATTTTATCAAATCCTTCATTTATTGAGCATCTACTATGAACCACGCAGAACAAAACAAACCAATTCGCTTCCCTTCTTGAGCTTAAATGCCAGGAGAGGAGCTTTCCCTTGGGAGGATTAATATTTCAGTAGTTTTTATTATGTAGTTAGAGAAGGAAAAAAATTAGCAAATGATGGTTAGGTGAATATACATCTGGTATTTAAGGTTTTTTTATGTAAATCTGGTACTGCAAAATATTGAGCAGAAGTTTATAGTCACCAATTATAAACACAAACTGCCTCTGCCCCACTAGAAGTCAGAAGCATTTTCTCTCAATATATTCTTTCCTTCTCTTTTTCTTTATATACTAGAAAGAAAGCCAGTCTATGAGTCCCCATATTTTAAAGTCCTTTTAGAATACATTTAGAAATAGCAGAATAGAAAAATAATTCGAGTAAGTGCTAAGATCTGTTGCACACTCCACTCAGTGAATCATAAAGTTTCAATTATAGTTCCAGAGCAAGATTATTTGTTATAAGAATAATAGACACATCTTTGTATTTTTGAGATGGTAAAATAAGAACATGAGATTCACTTCAAGTGTGTGATGTCTTGATTTCAACTACCCTGTAGATTATGTGAGTGATTTGGGGCCATAAAGTGAAACATGACCTCTGACAGAGCAAGCATTGACAAGGACCAGGCCGAACAGACAGGAGGGGGAAATCTTTTTGACAATTCTTTGTTTTCTGATTTGCTTAATTCCTTTGAAGATGTTAGTGGCCAACCCCTTTGAGAGTGCTGTGTTAAAGGAAATTGAGTGTGTTCTAATTGGGTGAAGGATTGCTATGTGGTCTTGTTTGATTCTAACACATTAAAACTTTTAATTACTACAGAAGGGGGAGGAAGGTTTTTCTAGTGTTTTGTTGATAAGCTTTCCTGTCTGGAAAAATTTTAAGCATGAGCTAATGTGGTGATGTTTTAATGTGAGCTAAGAAAACTGAAGTTTCTGTGGAGCTAAATAAAACAAACAAACAAATCCCATCATGTAATTTTAATGGACACATCTATATTTTATTCTCTGAAGAAATGTATTTGAGAAAGAATACTTTGCTTTTCCCACTTAAGGTGAGTTTCAAAATTGGTGGGGCAATATCTAAATCCCTGGGGAGTTTTTTTTAAAAAGTGTGTAGCTCTTCTTTTCCTTAACATTTTCCTAAGACGTCTGTGAGAGAAATCTGGACACACTTATTTTTAAAAAGCTTCCCAGATGACTGAAATATCATTTAGTTAAGGAACACTGGTTCAGTATATGCTAAGTATTGGCATAGCGTACATCTGGGATTTAGTTGTAATTTTTAAACATCAAAAATTAAAAATTTTATTCATTTGTTATTATGTAACTTCTGTTTAGAGCAAATATTAGAGCTTTAGTGATTTATGAAATTTTATTTTTTATTTGTGCCCTAATTTAGAGCTGCATCAGGGTCTTTGTGTGTGCATGTATGTGTGTGTGTGTGTGTGTGTGTGTGTGTGTGTGTGTGTTTTCTTTGTTAAGTAAAGGCAAGAAAGGGAGATAATATTTAGGAACCAAAATAAGAAAAGAGTTGGCAACTGACCATCCACCACTGATGAATTGAGTTATGAAATGGGGACAATGAAGGAGAACGTAGTGACCTTGTAGGTATATATCTCATTTTAAGGGAGGAATTCTATCCTCAAGTACTAATTTACAAAACCAAGGCAAAAAAAAAAGTATAAAACCAATGGAAAAATTTTCCTGGTTCCCAAAAGCAGAGAATCTACAAAGTGATGTTCCTGGTGTGCTTTGTGGTTTTTTTTTTTGTTTGTTTGTTTTTTTAAGCTGAGCCATCCTGCTACCTGTTGGCAACTCAGCGGCTGCTCAGCTCGGGCTGGACTCGAACCGCTGTTGCTCAGAGCTCAAACTCTTGAGCGAGCTCTTAACCAACTGAGCCACTCGGCCGGCCCTTGCTTTGTGTTTTTTTTTACTTGAGTTATGATGTAGTCTCATTAAGCCTGTGGAGGTGACAATTTTAAACTTCATTTTCTTTTTCTTTTAGACAGAGAAAAGGGGAGCTTAATTGTATAACTCATATGATCCTGTTCCGTAGAATTGAAATTTTGCAGGTGACAGCACGGCTGTTGATGATTATTACAAAAACAACCTCAACTTGATGATCGAGTGTCTGACTTTCCTCCCTTTGGCCTCACCTCTCAGGAAGAGTATCTGCAAGTAAAGTGAACAAAATTTGTATTTTGGCTGCATTAATGCAGAGATTTTTCTCCAGATGAGCTCTCTCTCCACCAATAAATGAAAGTGCAGTTAACTGCCTACACTACATGTTAGTTTTTGAATACCAGAGAAATACAAAAAGAGAAGCCAACTGTGAAATATCCTACTTCATAGGCCGAGATGATCAGCTGCAGAATGTTCCCGGAATCTTTCTGAAGCAGCCCTACTGTCGCTCCAGGAATAAGTTTTGCATAATTCTGTAAAACAGAAAAGAATAAGTCAGCCTGTGCTCACTGTAATTGAGAAACGCTAAGTGTGGGGTTCAGCCTGCTGGTTTACATTGCCTTTACTTAACGCCTGATAATAAACAGGCGTTTCTGCTGAGGCTGCAGCCCTGCCTCCCGCTCAAGTGGGAAATAGGACTGGCCCGAGCTGCCACAGGGGAAATCTAGGATCCGGAATTGCCTTAGTCTGGGGCTGTGATTTATATCACATGGGATTCAACCCTCAAATAATAACACTTGTATAACACCTTCTATTCATGGTGCATCCTTTGTCCAAAAATATTCTGAGCATACTACCAGGAATTATTTTCTCTTTTTTTTGTAACCCTGTGGAAACCAAGGTTTGGGCCCCTCACCGCCATCAGGTGGCTTTGTCAGTCATTCAGTCCAGGGTTCTTAACTGTCAATCGCTTGATGGAGAAAAGGAGTGAGCTATTTGGGTGCTTGCTGTTAACTTCCTCTCTCTTTTAGGGGTGTGAGCACAGTGCTGGGGGTTAGTTGGAATTGCCCCACACTCATCTGAGTGAGTCAGAACCTAGCTCTAAATGCCTGCATTCTCCACCTACATAGCTTCTCCTGAGATGTCATTCCCACCTGAGGAGATGAGCTCATCTACGCTCTAGGTACCCAGCACGGGCAGGCAATGAGGCATGGCAAAGAAGGGAATTTTCCACACAGCTGACCTTTAAGTTTTATATTTTAAAAACTATTTTCAAACAAAAAGTTTGCTGAAGTGCACAGTACACATCTTTGTCTTCCTAATGACTCTCAAGCATACATAGACTTTTTTCTTAAAGAAATAGAGTTATACTTACCAGTATTAACTACTGCTTTATAATCATCAAAGGCCTCTAAATATCCATGGATAGATCACACCTATACTAAGTGGGCCCCAACTGCGATTCTTTTGCTTCTTTTATTTGTTTTTAAATAGTTTCTATATCCTCCTTGCTTAGCTGTAAGGTATCACTCCCCTAGGAATTTACTCATTTATTCATTTACTGTTTCATCAACATCTATTAAGTAGATTTACTATGGTATGCAACATCAAGAAAAGACAATCACTGGGGCGGCCAGTTAGCTTAGCTGGTTAGAGAGCACATCTCATAACACCAAGTTTGCCGGTTCAATTCCCGCATAGGCCACAATAGATTGAAACAACTACTTGACTTGGAGCTGATGGGTCATGGAAAAAACACACTGTTCCCCAATTAAAAAAAAAAAAGAAAAAGACAATCACTCTTTGTATCAGCTGTGATCTTCTAAGTAGCTGTGTGTTGTGAAAGCGGATGAATGGATTTCTTAAAATTGTACATAGAAAAGAGAAATAAGCTTTGAGTGAAGGATTTAGGGCATCTCCTGTAGATCAAACATAATGACATTTTTATCTTATTTCACAGAAGACTGAAGGAGCTTAGGAAATACACAAAACTAAATTAGGATTCATAATTCTCATTAATTATCATTGTGATACTAAGTAAATAAATCAGGACAAGGGGAACCAAAGGAGAAGAACAAATGAAGCCAGGGTGATGCCAGAACAACATATTTTAGGAGGTCCCCGGCACTTGCTAGAGGTAGGTGCCTGGGTTAAGTCCAAGCTTTCTACACCTCTTGTATTAAAAAGATGAGCTTTGGTTTTAATTTGAGGGTTTTGTAATGTTCCACTTATTTCAGTGTTCATGATTGCATTTCAATTTGAAGTTGATGGAAATCTGAATTAGAAGTGTCAGTTGTCACTCTGCTTGAGGCTGTGTTTTATTATTGGAGGGGCGGTGGGCAGATATCCAGGTAACATTCCTCCCATTGCTCCGCCTCCCACATCGCTGCCTGGTGAAGGTGGGTCCCACTCTGTTTCCCTGAGTCAGGTAGAACTTGTCAAATACGAGAAAGGCACCGGTTCATCGACTTACCTTTTCAAATAAACACATGTCAAAGGGGCCACGAAGCGTGAGACCTGTGGCTAACAGCGAATGCCTAAAGAGGAACTTGAATTTCACTCCAGTGGAGCTGGAATGTGTGTAAATTTGACTGGCCCCAGAAGAGAAGACAGGGGGAAATTTCAGAGCTTGACAGGAAAGGTTTAGAGCCTTTTAAAGAAGAATGGCAAGGCTCGTACCTTTGCACAAAACTGCTGTCCTTAAAAATGTCCTGATCCCCTGAGGCAGAGGTGGAACAGGTATTTTCCACAAGCACTAGTTCAAGTGGCCTCCAGCTTTGGGGTTAATTCTTGGTGCACAAAGCCAAACCCATCTACTTCCTAAAGCATAATTATGATCCTGCATGTGGTATGATATTTGGCATATGGCTGTTAGGACAAGTGGCTTAGCATTCATCGGACTTGCTGACTGCCACTAGAGTGAGGGTGGGAAGAAGCTGGCAGTCAGCGGCAGCCCCCAGCGATAACACTAACAATCGTCTAGACTCTAGAGGAAAACTATTAATTAATTTCTGGATGCTGAGTTTCCCCTCTCCCCCCCTCCACACACACACACCAAGCATTGCAAATAACTAACTAGAAACATGGACAACTTGGCTTCCTGATTTAATACTGTAAGAAATCATACTTTAAATCTTGTCGTGTTATGATTACTATAAATATCACGTGTCAAATGCCTTTCTTTCATTAAAGCCCTAAAGTGCTATTGTAAACTGTCCTGATTAAACATGTTTAATGTTAGAAAAAGGATGCTTTTGCATGCCTCAATGTGATAAATTATAGCACTGTGGCTATAAAAGGTGACTCTTGGATATTAGAAATGGCGAACTCTGAAAACAAGATGTTGCACGAGCAGATGAGAAATGCAACTCCTATGCTTGGGCATGAATTTCTTGGGCTTGAATCCCCTGTTATCTGTCCATAGATTACCCTAATTACGGATTTTCTTCCCTCTTCCCCACCATGCCACCCAGTGGTTCCTGAGTTTGCTTTTCTCACTTATGTTTGGATTTTCCTGATTGCCTTAGTTTTCTTAACTACCTTTGCCAAGCCCTATTTATTTGTTCACTCTGCCACCATCTCAAAAAAGATTTCTCATTTGTCCAAAAGTCTGCATTCGTTCTCTAGAAATCTCCTGCTTGTCAAGGATACAGGATAAAAAATGGACAGGGGGTCATTTAGCGGGCAGGCATCAAAGGATACAGAGGAAAATGACTGAATTCACACCTGCACACTCTGAGCTCCTCTCAGAGGCTGTCTCCGTTCAGTGCCTGTTGGTGTCTGGCTGCCAGAACCAGCTGTCAGGTGTGCACACCTGCCTGGCTGAGGGTAGAGAGCCATGCAGACACACACCTGCTGCCCCAGCTAGCCATGGACAGGCTGTTGGTTGGCTTTCTCTTCAAAAAGCCTCAAGCTGAGGACCTTGCAGACTCTTGACTGCTTTTGGTGCTGTCTCGGCATTCTCACCCACAGAAGGGTCAACTCCTGACAGTGAATCCCTTCCTGCTTTGACTGCACTTCTTGTTGGGCTAACTCTCATCTTTAGGTTCAGAGCCTGGCTGTGTCCTGGAACACAGTTTGGTGTTAACTGTATCCTTGCTGGGCATCTTGATTGGGTTCCTGCCTTGGCTGGTGTCTCTCCTGGACCCTTATGTCCAACTTGCTTGTGACATTTATGCTGTTGTCTCAAACACTCCTCACAACCTGAGACTCATTAGCTACCATTTTGCACGGACCACCTACTCATGGCTGTCAGCAGGAGGTGGGAAACAGAAGTCCACTTGCTGCATATCTGCTAACAACATTTAATAAAGAATTTGTAAAGCCAAATATTTAGAGCAAACTGCTGCTTCTTTCTTAGGCCCTGTGCTTGCTTAACTCTTTCTGTGAAGCCTCACTAATATCAAAGGATTTTATGCTCAGCACTATTTATTTTCAATGTGATATTATTAACTGACATCAGTGTTTCTGGTCTTAAATTATACTTACTAAATGTATTTTGGTAAAATACATTTGCTGAAAGGTTGGCTTGTACAGATTGAGAATCTATGATATTCTATAATCTGTTCACAAATATACCTCTAATCTCTCAGAGATTTTGGGTTTTTTTTGGCATTACCTTGTATCTCTTCAGTTAGTGACTCTTGTTTATGCATTCTCTCTCTCTCTCTCTCTCTCTCTCTCTCTCTCTCTCTCTCTCTCTCCCTCCCTCCCCCCCCCCCCCCATCCCTCTAACTTTAAAGGTAGTATAACACATATGCACAGTGTTATCAGTAATAACTATGCAGTCCAATGAATACTTAAAAAGTAAACAAGCAAATGTCACTGCCACCAAGACCAAGAAATAGAACATGATCAGCACCCTGAACCCTCCCTTCAGTCCAGGGTCACTGTCTCCCAGTAACTTTCCTCCCCTGAAAAACCTATTCACTATTTTGACCTTTATTACTATGGAAGTCCGAGAGGATATCGTTGTTGCTTTAGGGGAAACAAAAATGTGTTAAGTAGGACACCAAAAGCACTATAAAGGAAACAAATTGATAAATAGGAATTAAAATTAAGAATTTCTGTTCTGAAAAGATGTATTTAAGAGAGTGAGAAGGAAACATTTGAGTGGGAGAAAATATCTGTAAAACATGCATTTGATTTGGTGCCAGAATATCTGAACAACTTCTACATATCAACAAAGAAAAGACATCTTGATAGAAATAGATATGCATGTGGCAAAAGAGTATGTGGAAAGTGTTCAACATTATTAATCATTAGAAAAATATAAACGTAAACCACAAAATGATGGCAGCATGAATCTGCTAGAACGGCCAAAATTTAAAAAAACTGACGGTGCTCTCACACACTTCCAATGGGAATCTAAATTGGGACAACTTCTTTGGAAACTGGCAGTAGCTACTAAGGCTGAACATGAGCGCAACTTACGACTTAGCAGTTCCACTCCTAAGTGTATCCACACAACAGAAATGAACCCACAACGTATGACTCTTCTGAGACAAACAAATGCAAAGAGAAACATTTCTTG